AGTACAGAGTCACAAGGTAGTCACGAGGTAATGCCTGCCGGACTATGGAATGTCCTCTCCCTGGTTTCCAGGGTAACTGACCACAGAAATGCCCCCACCTGAGGGCAGCCAATGAGAAATGGTGGCGGGCAACCACTCCCTTAGAAGTAAGATTAAGCCATGATTTCTAGAAGCGAGCCAATCAGAATTATACCCACACTAGCACCCCTAAATGATGTAACCTTGTGATTTTCCCCTTTAAAAACTGAGCTTGCAGACAGGTGGGCACTTCCTCCAGCTTCCACTGCATTGGATGTATTGGACGAAGTCGCTGCCTAGGCTTGTATTGCTTTTGGGTATCCAGAATTAAACCTTGCCTTTGCATTCTGGCAAGCTCATCTTTGGTGGTCCCTCTGGGGGTCACGATCTGGACATAACAAAGGCAGGGTGGAGACAGGAGCTGGCTCTTTCAGGCTGAGGATTCTCAGGAGAGACAAGAACTCTAGGGGCCGGCTGCTCTGCTTTGCTGATCTTTCAGCTTTCACCCTGATATCTGACTCCGCGTTTTCATTATCAAGACCAATTAGACCCTTTCTCGATCCCCGGCCATCTTGGTGGCTGGTCTTGGTTGGGGGCTGTCCCGCACCTAAGCCAGGAAGATGGTGGCCACAAAGATAACAAAAAGTCCCAGGAGACGATCAACTCTAGGCTCCAACTAGTAGAGAGTAGGTGCTGGGATAGAAACAGACTTTGAAGATGAACAGACAGGGCCAAGCGAAGTTGACTATCCTCACCAACAACTGCCCAGCTTTGAGGAAATCTGAAATAGGACACTATGCCATGTTGGCCAGAACTGATGTCCATCACTTCAGTGGCAATAATATTGAATTGGGCACAGCATGTGGAAAATACTACAGAGTATGCACACTGGCTAGCATTGACCCAGGTGATTCTGATATATCAGAAGCATGCCAGAACAAACTGGTAAAAAGTAAACCAGGAAGTTTTCCTTTAATAAAACTTTGCCAGGGCTCTTAAAAAAAATTAGAATTCAATGCCACATCATTCAGTTTTCTCTTGAGACTTCTTTGACCTATGTGCTATTTAGAAATATATTGGGATTTTTGTTGTTGTTGTTGTTTCTTTGGGGGTTTGTTTTTGTTTTTGTTTTTGCGTTTTTTGCAGTGGTAAGCCTAAGATGATCTTGGACTTTGTGGACTGAAACAAATCCTCCTGTCTCTAAGCTTGCAAGTAGCTGGATCCAAAGGCATGTACCACCAGCTTAGAAATATAGTGTGTGATTGTCAACTATTTGGAGGTTTCCTGGCTCTGTTTCTGTTGTTCCTGGTTTAAGTTCGCTATAGTCTGAGAGGATATGTCTGTTTGCTTTCAGACAGGGTCTTGCTAATAGCCCAAGCTGGCTTCCAGCTCACAGTTCCCGTATCTCTGCCTCCTGAGTGCTGGGATGAGAGGTCTACGCCACCGCTAGGTGCTGAGGCCTATTTTGTGGGAATTTTGTTTTTAAACTTGCTAAAGGGTGTTTTTCGGTCTAAAATGTGACTTTAGTGAAGGTTCTGAGTTTGACGGGTGCTCTGCAAATGTCAGCAGATCCGCATGAGTAATGATGCCGGCTGGGTTGCACTCGGCATTGTGCATTTTCTGTTTGATCAGTCAATCACTGTTAGGCGGAGCTAGAATAGCTATTCAGCTCTAATGGACTCATCCTTTCCGTGTTTGGGTTAAATGGATTTTCTGTTCTCTCAGATATTTTGACTCCCTGCTGTTCAGCTTGATCATATTAATGACTCTTAGGTCTTTTCGGTTAATCGACTACAGTTGTTTTGTGGCATGCTCCTCTTTGCCGCTGATGGTTTTCCTCACACCACCTGACTCTGCCGCTGGAAGCTGGGAGCTTGCTCAAGCCCTATCCCTGAAGTCTCCCGTCCTCTGGGAGGCTGATGGATATCTTCGGCCTCTGAGGCTGGTTTACAAGAGGTGCTGGGTCCACAGAGCAGCAGTCGGGAACTAGCAACGAAGGGTCACGTGTCCCGTCAGAAACCGTGCCCTCCACCACTTTAGCTCTTCTTCACAGTTTAGTCACGAACCTCGCAAAACCGTCGTTTGCTGTTCCGCTAAACTTCAAACTTGGCAACACCGTTTGCACTTTGGCCCTAGCGTCTAATATCTTTTTTTCTGTTTTCAGTAGACTTTTTCTTTGTACAAACATTTTCTCTGATCCAACACCTCCTGCAGCTCTGGCCAACTCTGGGTCCTCCCATACTCCTCCCCCGAGCCTGGAGCTGAGGTCAGAGAAGCCCGGGACAGCCACGAAGCCGGGGTCCTCGCGCCCCAACCACCACAGTTAAGGATTCTGATACGTTACCAAACCGCCACCCAGAAAGGAATTGCAATGTGAACTCCTACCAGAAATCACAAAAAGGTAAAGGCAGCCTGAAAGCCATACTCAAATTACCTGCTACCATCCAGGATGCCAAGCTGACCAGAGTCAGAGTCTGGCTCCTCCCACCTAGAACTCACCCTTATTTTCAGGCCGGCCTCCCTGCCTGCAGGGGTGACTGAAGTCCAGAGCTTTGCCACGGAGAGGAAACCTCCAATGGTCTACCCGTGCACTGTGAATCACACTTGCAGTAAGTCCTTCCCCTGAACCGTTCACCCCAAGGTTTGTGTGTCCTTGCGTGTGCCTGTGCACACGTGTGTGGAGGCCAGGGGTCATCCTCGGGTGTTGTTTCTCGGGAGCTGTCTATCTTGTTCTTGAGACGGTCTTCCATAAGGACCTGGAACTCACCAATAAAGCTAGGCAGGCAGGCCACCAAACGCTGGGAACTGTCCTGCCTCCTCCCCAGCACTGGGGTTACAAGTGTGTGCCACCAAGCCTGACTTTTTAACGTGCATTCTGGGGGTCACTTGAGTCCTCAATTTGCTGACTGAACTCTCTCCCCATCTTGCTGTTCAGAGCTTTTAAGAACGCAGCAGAAGAACAAGATGCCCTTACATCTTGCTGACTTAGTCACTCTCTGTCTGTCTGTCTCTGTCTCTCTCTCTTTCAAGTTCATAAATAATTGTGTGTCTATGAGTGAGTGTGAGTATATGAGTGAGTATGTATAATGTATATGTAAGTATGTGTATGAGTGAATGTGTGTATGCGTGAGTGTCTGTGTATGAATGTGTGTGGGAGTGTGGATGTGAGTGTATGTGCTTCAGTGCCCTTGGAGGCTAGAAGAGGATGTTAAGATTCCCTGGAGCTGTAGTTAAGGCAGTTATGGGCTTCTCAATGTGGCTGCTAGGAATCAGACTGTGGTCTAGAAAAGCAACACGCTTTCTTAAGCCTGAGTCATGTCACTGCCCTTCTCTGCAGGGTCTTGCTATGTAGTCCAGACTGATCTTGAACTCAAGGGGATCCTCCTGCCTCAGCCTCCCCAGTGGTAGGGTTACAGGATGAGGCACCAAGCCTGCTCACTTATTCGGGTTTTCTCATGTTTGCTGGAAAGCTAACACATCAGGCTCTTGCTTCCAAAATTGCACGGCGATTTCTCCTTGCAGGGCCCACTGATTCAGAGTCTGACCTTTAGACTCCATCTCTGTACTGTTATGTCAGGGAGGTTTTAGTTGGGGAGCGGAAGTAAATGTCCACATTCACTCTTTGAGGACTGATGGGGAGACATCCTCAAACCTTTCATGCACATCTAATTCACTGCTTGGTCTGCTGTCCTGATGCCCTTAGGCCAACACTCAGTTCAGTTCTGTTGCTTGTGACTGAAGGGAAGAGGGCCCCAGCCCTGGGCTCACATGCTCAGGTAGTCCATAATTGTATGCTGCTACTATGTGTATCCCAAATTCTTTCTTTTTAATATTCATTTATTTATTGTGTATACAATGTTCTGCCTGTGGGCCAGAAAAAGGCACCAGATCTCATTATTGATGGTTGTGAGCAACCATGTGGTTGCTGGGAATTGAACTCAGGACCTCTGGAAGAACAGCCAGTGCTCTTAACCTCTGAGCCATCTCTCCAGCCCCGTGTATCACAAATTCAACCTCTCTCTTACATTTTATAAGTAGGTGAGGTCAAGTCTGATCTTTCACACAATAGCATTAAATCCATGTCAAATCGAGTAGGACCTCTCTCTCTCTCTCTCTCTCTCTCTCTCTCTCTCTCTCTCTCTCTCTCATGTTTCTGTTAAATATATTTGTATTTTACACACATTATGGAAAACCAAACCTTAAAAGCTAAGAAGAAAGCAGAAAATGTGTAACTTATTGGAGTACTCACAAATGAAGGCTTTTGAAGATAAATCTACAGACGGCCTTTTCTACTCTTGTTCCACATATCATTCTCATATAGTTTCTATTTCTAGCCCCAACATGTACAGTCAACAAAAGTCCCACCCCAATATCCTGCTGTATGTGGTTCATGTGGGCATGTGCATGTATGTGAAGGTCTGAAGCTCGTAAATGGTATCTTCTGTAGCTCCCTTCCACCTTAGCTTTGAAGACTGAACTATCTCACTGGAGTTAGCAATCTGGCTAGGCTGGGATCCTCCTGCCTCAGCCTCCCCAGTGCTGGAATTACAGACACACCTGGCTTTTTTCATGGGTGTCAGGGATCCAAACTCAGGTCCTCACGCTACTGAAACAAGCATTTTACTGACAGCCATCTCCAGCTCTCCTCGTACCCAGCCTTTGAATTTGTTTCTGAGACAAGGTCTTGGTATGTAGCCCAGGTTGGCCTGTGACTCCTCAGTATGTAGCCATAAAGACGGCCTTTAATGTTATGATTCTCCTGCCTCTTTAAGTGATAGCTTTTGTCTCCCTTTTTTTTTTCAATTAAATTTTTTCAATTAAATTTTTTTGTTTTGTTTTGTTTTGTTTTGTTTGAGACAGGGTTTCTCTGTGTAGCCCTGGCTGTCCTGAAACTCACCCTGTAGACCTTGAACTCAGAGCTCTGCCTGCCTCTGCCTCCAGAGTATTGGGATTAAAGGTGTGGAGTACCATGCCCGGCTCTTAAATTTATTTTCTTCAGTCAGCATTGTGAGATGCTATGGTCAGGTAGGCCTTGGACTACTAGGCTCAAGTGATCATCTGGAGTAGCTGGGACTAGCTGGCAATTAGAGGTGTGTGCTGTGGTGTCCTGCTTGGTGTAGTTATATTCAAATATTGGTTTGCTCCTCAGTACCTTAATGCAACAAATAAAAACTCTATAAAGCCCAAATTATTGCTTATTCCAGGCTCACTTAGGTGCCAGCGACAGAAACTCTTGTCAAGCTCTTAGATACCTAATGGTGGTTTGTATGTTTGACTACCTGGAAATGTTCATGTTCACTCAATGTGTGTTTGACTACCTGGAAATGTCCATGTTCACTCAACGCCAATGCTCTGGTTATCGCTAGGTCAAAAAGGTTACCTGAATATGTTGTTATGATTTGAATGCTCTTCTCCTCTTCACACTCCTCCCACACCTACCTACTCACCTCTCCCTATTGCAAACATTGACTCACAAAAATTACAGCCACGTGCATACTTGAAAAGTAGAAGGAGGAGGGTCAGGAGTTCAAGGTTGGCTTCCAGTACATAGTGAGTTTCGGGCCAGACTAGATTACACAAGACCCTGTCTCAAGAAATAAATGATTTGGCTGGGTCCCACCATTAATCCCAGCACTCAGAGGCAGAGGCAGGTAGATTTCCATGAATTCAAAGCCAGCCTAGTCTTCACAGTGAGTTCCAGGACAGCCAAGTCTGTACAAGATTCTGTCTCAAGAAACAGCAACAAAACATTGGTTGACAATAATATTTAGCCAAAAATCCAAATAAATGTTATTTAAGGTAATTCTCTCAGGAAGGTCATTCTTTTACTTGGAATGTCTCTCTGATAGTGTAAATGAGAGCTACAGAAGTAAATCTATTCGATAATTTTATAATCATAGGAATTCACTGGCCTCAATTTCAAAGGGAGAAATCCATGTGTTTGCTACCCTCCCAAATATTATGCATTTGATCCCCAAAAGAATCTGCCTGCTGGATGGATGCTGGGCCATCCTTAGCAGCTTCAGGAACTCAGCCTTTTCCTCCCAGACTCCTCTGAGAGGTCACTGACCGGAGGAGCCCTTGGCCTGGCAGACCGCTAAGGTTTCAAGGTAACATCCAGAGCAAAGAAATACGTTGACCAATTCCCACGCCAGCTTTGAGATGAGCAGACTGGGCTGGCTTTGCCCACTGGTCCCCCAGGCCCTGGAGGCTTGAGAGTGTCGGGAAGAGAAGGGATACTGAGATGGGGGCAGGAGTGTGGGGACAAGACATTCTGTGGACTTGCTAGGGCCTGGCTAATGATAACCAGCACGGAAAAGGGACAGGCAGCCAGTGCTTCAGATGCTGGTTCTCCTAGAATGCAGAAAGTGAGCAACCCTGGCCCAAGAGAGAGATGTGCTGTCTCCACTCCCCAAAAAAGCACATGGGAAGAAAGATGGCATTGGCTTCCAGCTGCTCAGAGCACCCAGAAGGGTTCTCCAGCAGACCTTCCTGCTCCCTGCCCACCTCAGCCCCTGCCAGGCAGATGGTGCTGGGGCTCCTGGCGAGACCCAAGTCCCCATCTTGCTCCTGTCTTGCTCTCTCCTGCTAGGATCTTCGTTTACAGCATCTCCTTTCTTTCCCACAGAGGCGGATGGAAAACTGAGCCCGGCAGGCAAGGGAAGCCTCCAGCATGGCAGGGGGCATGGCCAGGAGATGTTCACTCCTCCAGGCTATGGAGATTTGGAAGGAAAGATTCCAGAGACCCCTAAATTAGGCCACGTAGAGCTTGCCATGCAGGGGGCTGCAAGAACTAGCCAGCTGCCATTGCCAACAAAGAACCCACCTGGACCCTGGAGCTCCATGTCCTCTTTACCTAAAATACAGTGAGTGCTTGACTTCTCCAGGAGTGCGAATCGCCACTTCGTGTTTGTCTTCAAAGTCGTGCAGATTGCTTTTGGAAACCTTGAAGCAGCGATTTCTTCCTGTGCAGTTGAACCTGAACTTCCTAAAGAAGCTAAGATTGGGCCCCTGGTGGTCTTGGCCAGTTCTTAGACAATCAGGCTGTAGCCAGGTCCTTTGGGCAGAATCACTAGCCAGCACAGGTCTGCGCTGCCCAATGGGGATGGATTTCCTTTTGGACGTACCTCATGGAAGCTGGTTTGTCTGGAGCGCTGACACTTGTGCTACCATCTGGGTGGAGGGAGAGACCACAGGGAGGGCTGTGCCTGTGCCGGGCAGGGAGACGACCTCACAGCTGTTCACCATGGAGCATCCTAGGCCCTGCTAACCTGAATGGATGTTTCATCAAGGCTGGCTGTCCCACAAGTGGGGGATTCCTGTTGTAACGTGTGCTGGTGGAAGGGCCACTGTTCCTGGAGGAGATGGTGGGAGATGATGGATGGGAGGGGAGGGATGTCTTATTTCTGTCAGACTGGCTTGGAGCTGGCGGGCAGAGTCAGGCTGCTGTCCTCCACTCCATCTCCTCGTCCTCGGGATCTGTGGTGTTCCTCTGAGGATTCTAAGAGGAGCAATAAGAGATGGATGGCAGGCTGCTAAAACCATACCCCATGAGGTTAGCAGGCAGCCGGAGTTGTACCTGATGGGCTGGGGGAGGTGCGCTGTTGTTGGTCCCATCACCTGGGCTGCGTCTTCAGGTGCCAGGGTAGCTGTCCAGCTCAGAGTTTAGAAGAGCTCAGGAGAAGACATAGGAAGCCATTATCTCATCGAATTTCCAGCCCATTACGAAGTCCTGTGTGTAACCTTGAAGACAGGGTGTGCCCCCGACATACTGCTTCAGTTCCTCACCTTGGTGACCCACATTTATCAATGGGTCCATCGCAGTGTTCTCCTCACTGAGACTGAGAATGAACGAGTTGGTCTTTGAATGTATTCTTCTCACCAGAGCTACATAGGACGGATGCCATGTCTCCTGCGTAGCACCTCTCTGGCAATTCCCTGAACCTCTGGAGGTCAGACGGTGGGAACCCCACTTACCAGTGCATGCAAGTCCCAGGCTCTGCACAGCTGCTTTAGGAGAATTCCAGGCCGTCTCAGAAAGCATCCAGCTTGTTGTAGAAGACACGTTTGCTGTTGAAGCCACAGTTTGCAATCTTGATGTTCACGCCAGCATCCGAGGGTTTGTCTGTAAGGACAATGAGCTTCTGGTGGCCACAGCATGCACACTAGACACTAGTGTTGGAATTTTCAACCGGCCTCTGTGTTCTCTCCCACTGGCACGAGGCACTAGGTATCCAAATACCACTCACCCATCAGCGGGCTTCATAACAAGGCCTTTCTAGTGTCTGTCACTTCAAACATTCCATTCTGTTGGGATTATTGGAGCCTTCGTGCAGCCTTACACCACAGAGTGTTCTCTGGGCTCGTTCCTGGCCGTGAGGAGGCACCGCGTTGACTTTACCTCAGCTGGGTTATCTTTGCCGAGGATTTTCAGAAGCATGGCTGCCTGTGTGGATCTCTCTTCAGCAGATATGGCTGAGGGGCCTTGCAGCTTGTCGGATTTCCTGCGGGGCTCAGAGTCAAGGCCCCCCAGCGTCAGCTTAAATTTGAGAAAAGTATGCATCTGTTTCAAGCCACCTCAGGGGAAAACCCGAAGTTCACCCGGTGAATTGACCTTTACAGTGGGAATAAAATACAATGCTGGATGAAACGTAAATTACAAAATAGTTTTCAAAGGAAAAATTGATTAAGAGAAAAATTTAAAAGAATAAAACTAGGAAGAGCACTAAGAGAGCCAATAAACTAGTCCCAGCCAGAGACTCACAAGTGCTTGGGACTGTAAAATGATAGCTTCATCCAGGGTCACAGGAAGAGGGACCCTAATCAATAGTGGAGTTCTCAAATAGCCCCTTTCTCCTAAGAAAATTGTTCAGGGTCCCAAAGAGCTTTTGTTTTTTATGTGGGTTCTGACTACCAATGTTTATCTTATTAGAAGTGACAACCCCAGAGCGGCCACACTTAAAACACTGGGTTTCAAAGCCACCCCACGGTTTAACTAGCCCTGCGACAAAGTGACACAGTAAAGTTACTTTAGTATCAGACTAAGCACGGAGGGGGTGATCGCAGTCTGCCCGGTTCCTTTAGAGTAGACTCTTTCTTTCCCAGAGCTTTAGAAGCTCCTCGTTCAGTCTCAGCATCTTGAAATGAAGCTAGGTACAAAGGAGAAGGCCCGCAGCCCCAGCTACTCAGAGGCTGAGGCAGGAGGATCCCTTGAGACCCGGAGCCCATGGCTAGCCTGGGCAACATCGTAAGACTCGGTGTCTGAGAAAACAGTCAGTAGAAACTGCATCTGTGAATTGAGAAAACACATCACCGTTTTCTTTTTTTGACTCAACAATGTGTTTTGTTCCAAGAGTCTCTCACCCAGCTCAGCGTGGGATGGTGCATCCAAGCACTGGACTCATCACCTTGGCTACTTCCACAAACATTTTTATTGAAGCATAATACTGACACAGATAAGTGCCAACTGTCAGTACAAAGTTCTATGACTATTCATAAATGGGACACACCTATTTAACCAGCATTTGGATCAAGTGTGACACTACAATATGGCGTCCTGAGATCTCCTTTTCCAGTCAGTGGGTTCTCTCTTCTCACAGCATTGGTTAGTTTAGCTTGTTTTCATCATTAGACATGTAGAATCACAAATTGAATCTTGTGTCTTTTCATTTGTTCAATATTTTGTGAGGTCTACAGATTGTTTAGTATTCATTCTAAGCACCAACTGTGTGACCCTAAGTCTGTCTGTTTATTGGCCATTTGAGTCTTTCTCAGTGTGTGAGTGTTAAACATTCTTATGCAGATTTGGGGGGTGGGGGCGCAAACCTACAAATGCATCCTGCTGAATGTGTAAATTTAGGAAGAAATTGCTGGTGTGTGAGGTATGGATACTTTAGTTTCAATCCAAACGAAAGTGGTTCCTGCTAATTGTCACGGCCGCCTGCATCTTGGGTCCGCTCTGATGGTGAGTGTCGCCTGCATTTAGAGCCTTTCCTTTGTTCTAGTGTCAGAGTGCTGTGTTGCTCTGGTTTGCATGTCTCTGATGCCTAGTGGTCATGAAGAAGAGCTTCTCGGCCCGGTCGGCCAGTCCCTCTTTGGAGAAACACCAGTTCTTACCTGGCACGCATTCCTCAGTCACGTGACTTTCATTTTTTCAGCTTGATTTCTACTTTATCCTTTCTGTAGGTTGTATCATGGACAGGAGACACAAGGCTACCCGCAGCCTGAGGTCTTCTCTTCAGATGAGCCAAGGAGTGTTTAGTACGGTTTAGCCATATTCTTCTTGGGTGAAATGAGAATTCTTTATAGCCCAGGCAGGCCTTGAGTTGGCATGTCCCCTATCTCAGCCTCCCAAGCCGCTGAGGCCACCATTCCTGGTGACGACGAAGCCAGGCTGTTGACTTGTACCCCAGAAAAGAAGTGCAGGATAAGTTAACCTGACCCTAGCTGAAGTTTATTACGAAGAGGGTTTTCATGTGGGTGTCAGTATGGACGCTGACAGGGAAAGAGAAACATAGAAGAAAAGGAAAGTAGTACACACCCTGGGGTGAGTGCAGACTTCTAGAGAGAGACCGAAGTCGCAGGTAACTGTTTTAATAATTGAAAGACCCCAGCATACTAGCTTAGCCTAACGCCATTTCGAGTAAGGCCTGAAAAGCACGGGGAAAGTTCAGTTAGAGGACATGGGCACAGGAACAAACGGGGTATCTACGGTCGGCCACCTGGCCCCAGAACAGGGTACTATAGGTCAGAAAAACAACTTGTAACCAAGTCAGCAGGCATGTCGAGCTCGGGGAAAAACCACGAACTGTCCTGAGTTTGAACCTGGCCTCATTTGAATCGTCCAATCAGAACCCTGTAAACCATGCTCCTCGTGCTCCTGCTGCCCGACCCTATAAAAACCCTCCACTCCAGCCTGTCG